TGTAGAACACCTAAAACAAGTTTTTGAAGTTCGTAAAAAGCAATTTTTATTTGCTAATCTTAAAAAGTGTACTTTTTATGTGGATCGTGTGATTTTCTTGGGTTTTGTAGTTAGTTCTAAAGGAGTTGAGGTTGATGAAGAGAAAATCAAAGCAATAAAAGAATGGCCTAAACCTAAGAGTGTAACTGAAGTTAGGAGTTTTCATGGACTTGCTAGTTTTTATAGGAGGTTTGTGAGAGACTTTAGTACCATTGCTTCTCCTTTAACTGAAGTTATTAAAAAGGATAAGATTTTTAAATGGGGAAAAGAACAAGATGATGCTTTTAACTTGTTGAAAGAAAAGTTATGTTCTGCTCCATTGTTACAATTGCCTAATTTTTCTAAATCTTTTGAAATTGAATGTGATGCTTCAGGCAAAGAATAGGTGCTGTTTTGATACAAGATTCTAAACCTATTGCCTACTTTAGTGAAAAGTTGAGTGGAGCCACATTGAGCTATTCCACTTATGACAAAGAGTTATATGCTTTGGTAAGGGCTTTAGCCACGTGACAACATTACTTGTGGCCAAGAGAGTTTGTCATTAAAGCTGACCATGAATCCTTGAAATACTTGAAGAGTCAAGGTAAGCTTAGTAGAAGGCATGCTAAGTGGGTTGAATTCATTGAAACGTTTCCTTATGTAATTTCTTACAAACAAGGGAAATAAAATATTGTTGTTGATGCACCTTCAAAGAGGTATGTCTTAGTTTCTACCCTGACTTCTAAATTAATGGATTTAATCAAATCAAGGGACTTTATGTTAATGATGTTGATTTTGGCAAATTTTTTGCAGATTGTAAGTTGAGTCCTTTTGAGAGGTTTAACCTCCAAGATGGGTTTCTCTTTAAGGAAAATAAGTTGTGTATTCCTAATTGCTCTTTACGTGAAGTATTTGTAAGGGAAGCACATTGTGGAGGGCTTATGGGACACTTTGGATTCCCAAAGACACTAGACGTACTGGCAAAAAATTTTCTTTTGGCCTGGAATGAGAAAAGATATTGAAAGAATGTGCGCACAGTGTTTGGAATGTAAACAAGCTAAATCTAAAGTGTTAGTACATGGTCTTTACACACCATTACATATTCCTACTTCACCTTGCATTGATATTTCTATGGATTTTGTGTTAGGTTTGCCTAGAACAAGGTATGGTAAGGATAGTATATTTGTTGTGATAAATAGGTTCTCCAAAATGGCTCATTTCATTCCTTGTTTAAAAACTAATGATGCTTCACATGTTGCTTATCTTTTTGTAAAAGAGGTTGTCAAATTTCATGGTATACCTAGAATTATTGTTAGTGATAGGGATGCTAAGTTTTTGAGCCATTTTTGGCGTGTGTTTTGGGGGAAGTTAGACACTAAATTGTTGTTTTCTACTTCTTGTCACCCACAAATTGATGGACAAACTGAAGTAGTTAATAGAACCTTAGGAAACATGTTGAGGGCTGTTTTGAAAGGTAAATTAACTTCATGGAAAGATTACTTATCTATGATTGAATTTGCTTACAACAGAACAATCCATTCTTCCACAGGTATGTCTCTTTTTGAGGTTGTTTACGGTTTTAATCCCTTCACTCCCCTTGATTTATTACCATTACAAACTAATAATATGGCTAATCTTGATGGTAGGACAAAGGCTCAGATGATGAAAAAAAATTATGAACAAACAACGCTTGCAATTGAGAAGAAAAATGAGCAAACTGCCTTGAGAAAGAATAAGGGACGAAAGCAAGTTATTTTTAAACCTGGAGATTTAGTTTGGGTTCACTTTAGAAAGGAGAGATTTCCTTCCAAAAGGAAGTCAAAGTTGCATCCTAGAGGAGATGGTCCATTTCAAGTCCTTGAAAGGATTGGAGACAATGCTTAAAAGTTGGACCTTTCTGGTGAGTTCTAAGTAAGTGCCACATTCAATATTGCTGACTTATCTTTGTTTGATGTAGGATCGAATTCGGGGACGAATTCTTTTCAGGAAAGGGGGGATGATAGCATCAAGGATAAGGATATAATTAAANATATAGTTAAGGACAATGATAGAGATGATAGAGTTTTGGAAGCTCCAAGGCCATTTACAAGATCTCAAGCTAAAGAGTTGCAAGCTAAGGTTGCTAGACTTCAATGGCAAATAAAGAAGCTTTTAATTGTAGAGGAAGAGCTCAAGCCCAAAGGAGATGAACTGTCCAAGTTTTACAATTATTTGGTGGTCCAAATTGAAGTCCAAGGGGAGAAAGATTGGGTCACCAAATCAGCCCTTGAAGTCCACCAAAAGGGCTTAAAATGATCTNCTTGTACTTTGAGATTTATCTTTCAACCTTTACTAGTTCATAGTTCAAGGTAGTAAGATTACTTATTTTTTTATGATATCTTTGATTCCTTTGTGGTATTCTTAGAAGGCGATTAATACTAGTTATTAATTGTTGTCTCAAGTTACTCGTAAAGCGGTCAAGATCCGAATCTATTGTTTTGATTTGCTTTTTAAGTAAAGGCGTTTGATTTCTTCCATAAATCAAGACGTTGTTACTTTGATCTTGTCAAAGCGATAGAACTTGCTTTCTTGGAAGTTCTTGGAATTCTTTCCTTGAATTTTTCTCATATCCTTTATTTTCATCTCTTTAATTCTAGTTGTTCAATTCCTTGTTGTTATTGCTTCCGCATTTACTTCTCAAAGTCTTATTCTAATTTGGATTCCCGACCTAGTTGTTATCAGAACAAAAAGCACAACTAAGGAAAAAAAATAAAAATACATACGTGATTGAAGAAAAAGGAAATAAACACATTTCTAATGTCTTCGTCAACAACTTATACACTTATTTGCCGATAATATTTGTCGTTTAGCATCGGTCAATTCAAAATAGAACTCATGGGTAATGAAGCACACACCTTAATGCCTTGCCTACACTGAAACACAACTTAAATGAGGTGAAGCGCTTTCTCTAAGCTTTTTTGAGCATCAGTACTTAAGCGTAGATTATTTGAGTCTTTGACAACACTCGAAACATTACAATTTTAAATTGTAAACTCTAAATAATTGAGGTGTCTCTAGAGAGTGATTTGAATAGAATTTGCTTGAGATTGATTAGTAAGTAATTGTACCAGAGTTGAAAATGTCTTTTGTTATGACAAGCAAGTTATATACAAGTGAACAAGAGAAATAAGTAAAAGAGAAATGAAATCAAATTTGGAGAAATATTTGGATAAGTCCACCTTAAGAGGCAAAGTGTGATTTGTTCTTGGTTTTCTTTTCTTCTATATCTTGCTAAGAAACACCAGTAAAAAAGTATGTACCGGGCACTCGTCCTTTCCCAAAGAAAATAAAAAAGAACAAAGAAAAAGTAAAATCCGGAGTGTGTATATATATATGACGCTATTAATATAGTCAGAATTTTCTTCGACAGTGAGTTTCTTGAAACTTTTATAAACATTTTTAACTTTGAAAGACAGTGGTTTAAATTTTAAAATAATATTTAGTGGTAAATAATCCCTTTTAGAAGGAATAGAAATGATATGATAATTCTATAACGTCCAACATCCCATCAGATAAAACCATTTTGCCGTGTCTCAACATTTCAACAAAGAAATTTCAAATAAATAGTAATAAATTATGACAACATCCTCTTTAATATAGAAAATATTTGTGGACACCCTGTAAAAAGTTTGGTTGCCGTTTGTTGTTTTGCATGCATTACAGAAACTGCTTGTTTTCCAGCGAAAGTGGACAAAAAAGTGAAAACTGATGCAATCATATATATGCCACATTTATATAATAACACCTAAATTTATATTAGTGTTCCATCCAATATGGTATAATTTGGGTCCAACAACCTTACTATCTAAAAGAATACTTTGTAATAATATTTATTGAATGAATGAACTGGTGTTTATACATTTATAGGATCCTAGAGGTGATTGTACCAAAAAGGATGTAATTTAGCAACCAATGTGTGAGGCCTTACCCACGGTTTAATCATATGATCGTTAAACTATGATTATAAAAGTTTAAAATAAACAGTTGAAACAAATGTTTAATGTTATTTTCATCAAAATCAAAACAAATTGCAAATCTTATTTTCTACAAGGATGATAATTTGAACCTTCCAACGATTTATTCCCACGCGCCTAAAGTTTTAGTGGACAAAGTTATCAATACTTATACAGTTATACTGATAAGAACATGTATTCAGTAAAATAGCCAGGGTATAGTAAACTAATCCGAACACCATTGTTATTTTGAAAAGAAAAACAGTGTTATGCCTCCAGTAAAAGATTTGAAAGAGTTTTTGATTAAAAATTTGGTAGGACTTGTGGAAAGAGCGTAATGCCACAAAAATAGAAGAGAATGAAACTAAGAAAAATACGTGATAGTAAAAATAGGATTCTTAGTCTAGTTGCAGTTGATGATCAGCTTTTAAAGAGATAGGGTGTTGTTGTTTTTCAACTGAACAGAAGATACCTAAAATTATTGCTAAGATGTATCAGCAGAAAGGAGAAGTGGAAAGGCAGCCACCATTTCTGTATAATAACGGAGTAGATTAATAACTGAAGAGCCAACAACTAAGAAAAGCTGATTAAACACCTGCTGTTTTTTCTCGTACATATATAATTAACAAAATAGCTCAAGGAAGTTGTATTCTTGTTTGCTCTTCAACTTTCCCATTGTCCATCCTTCTATACCAGATTTTCTTTTTTCAACTCAAGGTTCTTGAAATGCAGCAGAGGAGCCTTTCTCAAAAGTTGCAATGACTTTTTTTTGTGGGGGTGGG